CTATCTATCTATCTATCTATCTATCTATCTATCTATCTATCTATCTAGAATATTACTGTTTGTTCTGGTTCTGTCTGCTCCAGGAAATATCCTGGAATGGAGGGGTTGGAAGCAGAGATGACAAGCTCCTAGGAATGAGGGTGGAAACAGAAAACCTGGCCAACCAGGTAGGTATCTGGAGTAACAAAACAGAATAAGCAAAGGTGGCCAACAATGTTCCCTGGACCTCCACCACTGGCAAAGTGGTGGCAGATAGACAGAGACTTGCAGATACAAAGTGAAAAGTCTACCCTATTAATAAGAAGAGGGGTACACTGAGTCCTCTCTTCTACTGGCCAGGATATTTTTATCTATAGTCTCTTAGTCCATCTCCATAGCAAACATAGATGTAATCTGCTCACTTGTTAGTTCAGATTGACTTTACAGAAGAAAAGTCTATACCCTTAGCAGCTGACTTCATCTCCTTCATCTCAGCCATGCAAGCTCAAATGCTATGTCCTGAGTGCAGCCCTGGACTTACCTATCTCAGCTGATAATGATTGGAACATCTGTCTTATCTGTAAGAGTCTTACCCTGTTTCCAAAGCTCACTTGAAATTCCAAATCCTCTATGAAGTCTTCACTGTCACCTAGGTTCCAACTGCTTTTATAACAAGGGAAGGATGTTTACTCAGCAAACATCTGTGCACCATTTCCCAACCCTCCCTGTCCTAGACTCATTCTTGCAAATGGAATGTAAGTTGCTATGGTGTCATTGCCTGTTTTGAGAGTATTCATCTTGTGTCCACCCCACCCCCATTTCCCCCAAATATCTCCCAAAATTCCATGCCAGGTTTTTGGAGTGAGTCTCTGTCTGTGCCCTAATCACAGCACAGAACATTCTTCTTCCATTAAGCTGCCATAGTCCATGATGTCCGCTTTTACCCACTAACATTTAGGTTTATGCATTAGTAGTAATATCACATCTATCATATTCTATTTTTGCGAAGACAGCTATTTATTGACCTGTTAAGCTATAATCTATTCATCAACATTTTTCTAATGAGACTGACGCTAACTCCTATCATGTCTTCTCTGTTATCTGTTCTGAAGCCTCCTCTTGGGTTCTCTGGACTCTTATTATAGCCATTACTTTAACTTTTACTCCATTCCTAGGTCCCAGCTGTAGTTTTTAGTGTAGTGATATGAGCAGAGGTAAATATCACGTTGGTTGACTCTGTGTGCAACAAACTTAGATCCTGTATGGATTTTGTTTTCTTGACCCTGACATCTCTGTTAAGTTTTGTATCAGGTATGCAAGAGTAGAATTTTAAACTCATACCAATAATATTTCTGAATTTTACCCTGGACCCTAACCCTGACTGCATGAGGTACATTCCGGATACACACCCATATACACACACATATCTTGTAAATGTTGACAAGGTATGTTCTTGTTACTAAGTTATTGTTGGCTAAGTGGCCTTCTTTAATTACTATATTTGTTGCTTTGTTTTATAGATTCCATAAAGTCAAAAACAGTTGAGAGATGGATAAAAGAAATCATGAGTTTAAATAGGGTAAGAAAGCTATGGCCCTGGTCTGAAATTAGACCATAATTTGGCCTTTAAATAAAGTTTTGTTGAAAATACCCATATCCATTTGTTTGTGCACTGAAACAGCAGTTGTACTACAATGGCAAAGTGTAGTTTGATGACCCTGACTTAGACTCTTTTTTATTTCTTCTTTTTCTTTATTTTTTAAATTTGTTGACTTGTTTTGGTGAATTTATATCTATGCCCTAGGAAGCCAGAAGAGGGTTCATATCCTCTGGAACTGGAGGTACAGACAGTTGTAACCTGCTATGTCGGTGCTGGAAATTGAATCAAGGTTCTTTGGAAGAGCAGCCAGTGATTTTAATGGCTGAACCATCTTTCTAGCTCCAGCCTTAAAGTATTCTGAGGATAATGATAGTGTTGCAGCATTGTATATATCTGCTTTTCTGATAGCATTTGACACCATAAAGGTATTCAATCAATTTAGTCCAACTGAGAAGGAAAATTCAATTTCTTAGCAACACTACCTTCTGCTATAGAGGGACGGATCCACTATGGCTCTGGCACAAATAAACATCGGGGGAGTTTTATTATTTCTTTGGAACCCTCCAGGGAATGTGGATATACTGGGGCAGGGTGCAAACTGGAAATGTCTGATTTGAGGTAGGGAGAAAAGGCCTAACATAGTGGGTGACTGGAAGGATTTAGCCAATGGGTGACTGTCACCTGAGCTGAACTTGGAGACAACACAGGTCAAGAGGGCAAAGGTAAAGAGGGCAGGAAGAGAAAGGCAACAGCTAGAGGTAGATTGTGCCTAGGCTCCATCCATCAACACATGTCTCCAGGAAACAGTGTTGGTGCACTTTATGGCTATTCAGATGCCTAACTAGCTTACAGAAAGACCCACGGACACAGCCTCTGGCCTCCTTGCTGTCCTGAAGCACCATGGTGCTTCCTTCCACAGGAGTCTTAGCTAACAACTTTCCAACACAAATGTGACTTTTCTGGTGTTGTAATTTTACAAATGTTTTTCTAAAGATTCCTTTTCTGCATAACAGCTTGAAGAAAAAAATAATAAAATGCTGAGCAACTGTGGGTAGTTTGTACTATTATTACAAAAGTAGACAGAATACAGTATATCAACACTGGAGTCTTAAACATACAAAGAAAAGGAAAGAGGGAAAGAGAAAAAGTAATGTTTTGGCTGGCACAGTTTCTCTCTTTTGTCAAGTTAATCATGTTCTGCTAAAAGAGGCCCTCATAAGTTAGTTCTGTAAGGCCGTTGTCACAGTTCACAAGTACCCATAGCATGTAACACCATTCCTGGCTCAGAAACTCAGGGCCTCTTAGAATTTCTCAAAGTGCAAAATGTTAAGACTTAAAGAGAGACAGTGAACATGAGGAAGGCAGGATGGTGCTACTTTAATTCTACAATGTTCATAAACTTTCTACGTCAGTTGGCTTACATGAAGAGAAAGCCTATTGTGCAGCTTCTAACTGAAAGTGTGATAATTCCATGCTATGAGAAGCCAAACTCTGGCAACCTGGTGATGTAGTACAAACACACAGGGACCTAATAGTATGACAGGCTTTACTTTCTCCAAGTATAAACAATGGTTTATCAAAGAGGCTTAACAGCAAGCCTCTGAGATACATCCTCCCCTCCATTGTTGTCTTGGTGTATCACATTACTCCATAGTGGGCATTACCAGAAATTCTCTAGCACAGATGGGCAAGGTCTTAAAAGAGCTGGGATTTCCATGCTAACTTGGAGAGTTGGGGTTAGAAATGAAGCAGGAACCTGGCATGTTGCTGACTCATAATTTTTTCTATTTGTTTGTTGTTGTCTTCCTTTCATTGGAATGAAAGCTCTTCTATACAAATTCATGTCTTAGAAGGGAGAGAATATGTAAAAGTCTTTCCAGAGATTATCTTCAGTCCCTTGTGCTCAAAACACTCATTACTTTCACTGCAAATACAAAACAAAGTTCTAAGGATCCTCCTGTGTTCTGCAGAGAAATTCTGTTCCTGCCTTCCTTTGATGATAGTGGAATTCTCAGTCTACGAATTGTCAAGAACTCATAATTTACTTAAGGTAAGCCAATATAAACTGAATGATTCTTTTTATCTGGCTACAAGGAAAAGTCCACATTTCATAGGCATTCCTAGGATCAGACAGAAAGACTTCATTGGTTCCAAGGGACAGATACAAGGCAGGGCCTTTGCTGTTGCTGAGATGAACCAAAGCCAGGGACACGAATTGAATCCAGCTCTATGTGTATCAGATAAACATAATCTTAGGTAAATTATTTATTTTCACAGGCCTTCTGTTTCTCCACCTGTAAAATCAGGCTAATAATATGGCCCACTTTGAATTCAAATGTAAATTGCTAACAAACAGCAAATACTTAAAATGGAAAAATTTAAGAGAAATTCCCGACCTCAACATCTTATTCGGAGGAAATAGTTCAATGTTCGAAGCAACCTCAGATTTACAAGCCCATCCAGATATACCATCAGAGTTCAGGACTTGTTCCTGTGTCATTATAGTTCGGTGACATCTTAAATGGCTCCAAATATAGGATTGAGGGTAAAATGTTTATTATCTCCACTGAACAGAAGACCATGCCACCCCTGCTTACCAGGCTATAGAATGTTCAGTGATACATAAAATATTCATCATGTGGTATCATTGAGAAAAAAATTCTTAGAAATTACCTATAGCACATTTCATTTTATGTATGTATATTTGCATGGAGAGAAGACTTGAAAGATCTACATAAAATGTTATTGATTAGGTGCTATGATAGATAGAGGGATGAGTAATATTAAATTTTTTTTAATGCTTTCCTCTAAAATTTCAAAAATGAATATGTATGTATTGCTTTTGCAATATAAAAAGTAAAAGCTATTAAAGAAAGCAGATACAGGGAGATAAAACAAGTTTCTTGATGACCCGGAGTATAAGCTTGAAAGAACAATGGTGAAAACTCAGGAGTCTTCTTGAAATGTGATCCATTCCAGTAATAAGAGGCGTTATAAGACACCGCAAACAGTCCAGCTGCCATGCTATGCTATCCCACTGCTTATCACATTCATCTCATGCTATGCTATCCCACTACTTACCACATTCATCTCAGAACCAAGCACAAAGCTTAGAGTCGCATCATGACCATTTTGTGGGTTCGTGTAAAGCCATGCTATTTTAAAGTAACTTGGTAACTCTCAATGACTAAAAAGATCTTCCAAACCCTCACAGTTTGCCATCTTCAATTCACCAGTCATGGTTTGTTTTATGTTAAACCCTCATGTTTGGGGCAGCAAGCACAGAAACTGTTACTTAAACTGGAGGCTTTGCCAGGAATCTGATTCACAGGTTCTGAGTCAGCACTCTCACCCACCCCTCGGTGCTCATGACTCTGAGTGACAAAGTCTATACTTTGCCTAATTACCTTTTCTTTGTCCCTGATACCTTTCCCTCCTTCTCAGGGAAAAGCCTGCTTCTTGTGTGTGGTTTTGTGCTCTATTTGAAGAGGATGAAATTGGATAGTGTTTACCTTTCCTTTTATCTTGTGGACTATAGGTGCCAAACGGATATAAAATACTACTATCATTTTGCCTGGAGGTGCTCAGAGCTTCTTGACAGTTCTCAAAGCATGGTCTGGAAAGCGCTCCACATTCTGAAAGCTCCTAAGGGACAGGAATAAAAGTTACATTTTGAAAATACATTCTAATTTAAACAATTGAAGCAGAGTGCAAGACAGGTCCTTGTTTGAATCATCTTGCAAGTCTCAAGCATGTATATCTTCAATAGTGGAGAATCAAAATAACCCTATCAGATCAAACATCTTTCAATATGAAATAAACAGCACGGACAATGTAGTGTTAAGGATTATGAGTGCTGATAGCCAACACAAAAGAGGATTAACTTTATTATTCTTTCCCCCACTTACAACTGCCTTCTTTCAAATTCTCTTCCATCTGGGAGTACAGCTTGTGGCAGTGTCAATATGAGAATACAGTTCATGCCAAGGGTGTTTCTCTGCCAACCAGCTGGTTCCTCTCTCCCTCTGCCACTCTCTCTCTCCCCAGCTAAGTGCATATGCTCTAGGACAAGTCAGAACCAAAGCAGTATTTGTCACCAGAATGTCATGGTTGTATCCCACTGTGGACCCCAGGCCTTTGGCCAGATGCTAAAGTAAATGGCCATGACAAGACCAGACAGTGGTTCTCCCTAGAGTCTTTTTTTTTTCTTTCTATATTTCCCTCTCCTGTTTGCATTCTGACAGTCTGCAAATAAATTCACAGTTTTCTGCAAACTGCTGTATCCAGAATAACACCCGACACAGCATCATCTCCAGGTGCTGAAGAGGTAACAGGGGGCAGCTGGTGACAGAAAGCTCAGTTGTGTTTTAAAGGAGACTGTGGCACAGTGAGCCTTCTTTTGCTCCTTTTCTTATTATTTGTCTTCCTAACAGATTTCAGGGAAATAGATGATTTGGAAGTGATTCTGTAGCGCTTCCCTTGGCCATTTGTGAGAGGCACATGTCACAAACACAGACCTACTCCCCAGGCTCTCTCCTCCAGGAAAACTCTTGGCTAAAACAATGCATTACTTTTTCTTTAGTTCCCAAAAAATTCAGTATTTAGCTAAACAAAATATTTGAAGCATTCATGTCTATTCTATATCCTAAATAATTAAAATGTTTTTGGCTACACGGGGCTATTAGCTTCCTGTGAAGGCTTCTAGCAGTGCTTGCACACCTACCACAGTGCCCTTGGCTGCTGTACTGCTAGTCCAACCAAAGCAGGTACAGGAGCAGCCCAGTGGCTCCTAAGGTTAAGCTGGAGTCCCTGCAGGCAGGAGGGTTGGGACTTGCTTTGCATTGCCTCCTGTTTTCACTTAACAATAACAACAAGAACAAAAACAATTTTTTCTGCTTTCCTAGCTCTTTGATAAATGACACAATCAATGTCCCAACAACTGATCAGTAACCAGCCTAATTAAAGCATCCAGCCTGTAAAATAGAGCTGTCGTGGAGGCCTCCATTAGTGTCCCAGCCAATAAAAAATATAATGGATTTTTAAGCATGTTCTGCTTCTGTGAAGATGAGCTGCAGCAGGGAGGAAAAAATGTTTTGGAAAAGGGAAAAACAAAACCAGGTCATAACCCATTTTTAAATACCAAGTCTCTAGGCACAAACAGAATCTCAATTCAACCTGAAGCTCATCCTTTGAAAAACATGCTTCTGTTCAAAATGATTCTGATTCAATCACGGGCTCATTATGTATTCTTCCTGAGATTCTCATCAAAACTGTTTACTTATCTTGTACAACTGGCTAATGTGGGGGAAAAAACAACAACTTTATATTTTGACTTTTCTTAAGCAGTGCCTTCATTTCTTTTCAACATCAGTATAACGTTCCAGCAATTATGTTGGCATTCTTGCCAAATCTAACTAATTGATTCACCCTGATGTCTGAGCAGTGTATAGACCTCCTCTGGGCTATGGATGCTTTTCTATGGACCAGAGGGTACTTGCTGCTCTGTGGGGATAGATGGAAAAGCAGGTGTGCACAGCATACACTGTGCATAGCCTATGCATGACACAGTGCAGAAGATTCGGGAGATAAGATAGCTGATTTTCTTGAAATTTAATAAAGATAAGCTGTACATTAGGCTTCTGTCTTTGTAAGTATAATTCTTTTTAATCTTCATGGCTACCACAAAGATTCTCAATAGCGAAGAGTCAAGTGTCTGCTCATTCCCCATGGAAAGCATGTAAATATTAGGGAAAGAAAATGGATCTTCTTTAAATGTCCTCATAAAACTTGCTTTTTGTAACAGTTACTATTCCTGATTGATCCCCTGGTGAACTATATTAACAAGACATGTGTGAGGATGGGTAAGGAATTGAAACTCAATACTTTCTTCTGATGGGATAATGTCATTCCCAGTCTTCTCTAGACCGTGGAACTAAAGATGAGAATGCTCACAGCAAAGTCCTCAGACTCCAGGAGCTGGGATGTCACATCCATCCACTGCCATTCACATGTATTTTACAGAGAGAGCCAGGATAAGGGAAGAGGAAAGGTACAGACATCTCACAGTTTATAAGAAACACTTGTTTTTTCCTCTTGCTGTTCTGTCTTTGTCGTCTGAGTGAACATGGTGCTCTGGCAGCCTTTTTCATCCTTTCCTCTTGGTTGAGGCATCTTTGTTAAAGGAGATATTAAAGAAAGTTCTAGTGTGCACATATATAAGAAGGGCCGACTGAGACCTCCTCCATGCTACCCTTCAATTTACTGTTCAGTAAGTGGGTTCCTTGTATCCCAGGCTCTATAGGGAGGACCAAATGGCACCAGACAGGACCTTCTCTCATGTTAGGAAGCAGTAGATGGGGCATTCAACTATGTACATAAGTGAAGGCCATTAAATATTCATGAAGACTCTGTCACTTAAGCAGATGCACATGTGGAAAACAAGCTCATTCATTATATATAGTCTCCAGTAATTGGCCAATTTACATTTATTTAACATCTACAAGGTTATGTACAAAGGAGCATAAAAGGTAGTTACTCTTCACCAATAGCTGATAATACAACACAGGAAAATACTCTGTCACTTCATGACTCAAGAACCCTCTGGCAGAGCAAGTAGGTTTTATATGTGGCTTTTTATTCATCTAGTAATATTTACTAGAAGCCTATCACATTGGGAGAAATGAAACTCAAACAGTGGATAAAGCAGGTCCCTGTATCTGTCTTCTACACTTTGAGCACTCACATTAGCTATATTTTCATGGTCAGGAAATAGCAGATTGAGGATTTTTAACTCAAGTAATCCATGTATATAATACAGGATCCCCACTGACATACATTGCATCTTGATACTTTTTCATTTTTAAATTTTGGTTGAACTTACTACTGAAGCTAATATTTGATATTAGTTTTATAAGTAGCATATACTCTTACTTTATATACAGCTATATACTATAATACTGAAACATAGCTTGGCCTTAGAGACTATCCTAATATGATGATATGTGATATGTTGATATTTTTGTTGATTTTTATGAACTTACTCATTTTTTCTAAAGTAATTTTAGAAATATTTAATACTTAATATTTCATGTGTAATATGAAATACTGTTTTAAGCCAATTTTATTTATAATTCTGTGTAAATGGAATGTTCAGGTATATCAGCATTTAAGATCTATTTTATACACAAAGTTCATATGTAAGTGGACATTTTTCTGACATTTAAAAATCATAATCAAATATTTAAAAAGAGATAAGACTTCCATTTATTTAATAAAATGAAGCACAAAGTTTGCTCAACAGACCCAACTTTAACTTAGTTATACTCCAGGGCTGAATTATCTAAGTGTAATTTGTAGGTGGAATATAGAGATTTGATTACATCATAATAACTTCTACAATAAACACTGTATATATTGTATATATCCATCCAATCAGTAACCCTCTAAGGTACGGACCTTGCTAGTATACCATCAAAATTTTATTGAGACAGATGCTTTTTTAAAAGGAGTCCAGAACCCTACCAATTTCTGAGCATAGGGCCTGGTAAACATAGACTTGTGATATTTGATAAATAGTTTACTTTAAATGTATATTTCAAGTGTTTTTATTGTATGTAAAATATACAAACACCTCTTTCTTTCATATATCAACCAGAGTCTGTCTGTGGTATATATTCCCAAGTATGGACTCAATAAATGTCAATCTACCACATGAGTGACAGAATCTGTATATTTGGGAGGCTATCTGAGCAACTTTTAGGAGAGTCAAGAATGGTATTACCTCCAGTGGTCTCTCTGATCTCCTTAGAATCACCAACTGGATCATGCCCCGGATGTTTCCCTCCATGGACATGGATCTCCTCAGTGTTTCCATTGCTTCATGATTGGACTTTCCCAAAAGTGTTTCCCCATTAACAGCAATCAGTTGGTCATTCATTCGGAGACGGCCATCCTGAGGCAGAAGGGAGAACACAGTGTGAGACCAGGAAGCATGGTGATGGCGGGAAGCTCTTTGGAGGAACATTTCAGGTGTGAAATAGAGAGTTTTAAATGTAACCCTTAACTCCTAGGAATGATATATTTTAAATGGGAGGCCGAGGTTCTGGGACTTTTCAAGGAGTCACAAACACGAACAGCAACGATCTGCGTGAAAGGAATTATTTGTAGACAGTCCCGAGACACACTAACTGAGACATTTGTGATGTCTGTTACTTAAGTCTCTGTCTAGCAAGCATATGAACCTAACATACTTTCTCCATTTGCTCTGGCAAAGACCATGCTGGGACTCAAGGAACAGGTTAAGAAACAAAAGTAGTAGTCATCTCTCAAAAGCAGGGTTTGCATTTTCAGACACAGAGACATGCTTGAAAACTCTGTGCTTCACAGCATAATGTGTCTCCTAGATATTATTGCTAACTTTATGAATAGAGTGAACAAATTTCTCATATAATTTTCTCTAACCCAAAGTGCAGCTTATCCACTTACTTACTTATCCACTGTTCTGCAGAACACAGATATGTATAATGAAGAACCAATTTGCCCTAATACTTCTAGCAGGAAAGTTTGACAAAGGGAATTATCAAGCTTTCTCCTGGGATGTTCAGCCTAATAAACACTTTTATCCAGCATCTCCTAGAAGAGACACCATTTACCACTAAGCACCAGGAACCCTGATATTTGGAGAGTCAGCCTGACTCCTCTTCCCATCATGTAAAGCAATTCATTCAGAAGTCATCTTCAGCCAGAAGCCGTCCATCAGCTAACATATCTAGTGGTGGCTGATAAACTAGGAGAGCCGTTCTTTAGGAAGAAAACTTGGGCAGATCACAGTGCTTCCTCTCTCTAGGAAGACTGGGGGAGAATGGTGCTTACAATGTTTGCAGTCTGGTGGCTATCCTATGCTACTTGACATTCAGACACAAGGTTCAGATACAATTAAGAATCCTGTCCTGGTGCTGATGCAAATACATTTAACAGAAATAGGAATAAGATACATAGTGTTTTACTTTTCCAGAGACTTCTTTCATTAACTACCTTCGGTGATGCTCACAGACTCAATAAGTTAAGGAGATTCACATTTTAATAAAAAAATGTCAACAAAAATACATAATAATGGAAGTATAACTATAACTTGCCTAGGGTCATGATAACATGTCAGGTAAGACTCACGCAAGCTTAAGTTTTGTAAACTTTGACCCATCAGCCCTCTCTCCTAGAAGCCTACTTTCTCTTGTCTACAGTTATGTGGTGCTTAACTAAATGGAAAAGAGTTCTTGCAGTAAAAGGTACCTGGGATGGAAGTTCAAATGAGCAGTATGAAAGAAAGAAACCTCCCTGAGAAATGATCAAAACAAACACAAAGCTAAGAAGGGAAGCCAGTCATTGCATTGAGCCTCAAAGAGAAAACCTGTGGGCTAGTTGATGGCCTTCAACCAATACAAGGGCAGATGGTCAGAGGAATTGTTCCCCAGTGAACAGAGAAAGAGAAGGAGAGAGAGAGCTGTTAGTCCAGAGAGTGTATAAAGATGCCCTACACATCACCTGGTGGATGGGGTGTTGGTCACACAGGATTAAGCAGGCCATACAAAGGAGTGCATGTTCAGTTGAGAGCAGTATTGAGAACAGCAAAACAATGGAATCAATAAAGAATGTGTAACTGTTCGGAGGCCTGCCTGCCTCATGGGAACTTAATGCCTCCTCCCTCTGGCTTTGGAACTTCACTTAACCTTTACCCTGATTTACCAAGAAAGAAATCTCTCTTCTGCTATCCAATTGTGAATCAGACACACAGAAGAATAGGATTAAGCCTCCGTGAAATGGCAAGATGGGTAAAACAACCACAGCCTTAATGGTTTAGTCACATGAAATGAAGCACAGCTGGATCTCTCCCAATTTGTCATATGACCAGTAGTTGAATCTTGTCACTAAAATTCTCCTAATGTGGCTGGCAGCTGATGTACAGATTTTGAGGATGAGGACGGAGAAGAGTAGGACATGGGGCATGGATACTGATGCAGTTAACAGGAAATGAGGGAGTGTTAAGATCTGTAGAGGCCTGTCAGCTAGGAGGACACCTCATCAACCACGGCAGGAAGAGGAACAATAAAAACTGGAGGAACCTCAGAAAGAATTTAGTGAGAGGGAAAATGTGAGAAGAAAACAATTGTCTATAAAAGCTTGTACCAACAACTACTAACATAAATTTGTTTCTAGCCACACCCTAGGGCTCAGCCATCTCTAAAACATTCAAGTAGGATGCGCTTACTAGAGTGAAGTCCAAAACAAGAAGACAGGTCAGGTGATCCACCCCAGAGTCTCTGGAATTTTTTTCTGAGACAGTCACATTTATCACATATGCCACTAGAGAGTTGAGGGCACAATAAAAAGCCCACACACTCTCGTTTGCAGGAATGGCTGTCCTGATGCTATTGGTATGTGCTTCTTGCTCATAAGATAAATGATGGGTAATTTCATTAATGGTAATACCAGGAAGACCATATTGTCTTAACATTTAGAATACTATCATAGAGCTTTGAGCTTAGAAAGGTCCTCAGAGGTCATCTTGTCTGACCCCTTCCATTTATAGATGAATAATATAATGCTCCAAGAAGACATCATTTATCTAACACCTATTAAGAGAAGGCACTTCCATATGGATTAAGACTGGCTCAGCTGGTTAAGACCAAAGTTGGAAAGGAACAGAACAAACAGTCCATGTTCTAAAATCACGAGGGTGCTCTAGCTACACGAATAATAGTGACTCACTTCAGAAGACTACTGTTTCAAGAAAAGACTTTCAAAACCAGTGAAGACAATATGCCACCGGTATCTGCAGAAAGAGATCAGAGTTTGAAATCTAGGGACATATACAGAATGCATGGTCACAGGAAGATAAAAGAGATGCCCAAGCAAACTGGAGGATGTCTTCTACTAGACATCTTCTAACATGAAGTTGCTTGAAGAAAGAATTAGCTACTCAAACTCAAATGTAGCCCTCAAGAGCATGCAGCTCTTTTCACTTTGAAATAATTTTCACCAAAGATGTTAGTTTTCTATGACACTTTCTTATTAATATTATGTACAGATAATTATTTGGGCAGGAGAGTAAAATCCTACAACGTTATATAAGTGAATACAAATACCTGAGTCATTTTAGGAAGCATCCTCCATCAGAATCTGGGCCATGCTTATACTTTTCAAAGAAATAAACCTTGGGTTTGCAAGATGGCTCAGAAGGTAAAGGCACTTGCCATGTAATTCTGGTGATAGAAGTTTGGTTCCTGAAACCCACAAAGCTGTCTTCTGGCCTCCACATCTGTGTCATGGCATGTGTGCTCACATATACCAGAATCATATGCACATGTGTTTAAAGTAACAATAATAAATAAATAGTTTACAAGACAAAGAAAATCTTTCTTTTCTATTTTCTTAACAGCAGAACCCTAAGCAACAATGTTGAAGAGAGGGGAACTAAGAGAGAGTACAAACAGTGACTTCCTCAGGATACTTTAGTGGAGACATGAAAAACTTGTATGAGATGTAAGTCTCTCTCTAGCCTGTGATGGGATGGCTTAGAAAGTCATCAGCCCTGACCACTTATCATAAAAGGAGGGATCAAGGGCTCAGAGACAAGATGCAGGAGTATTACATCTCCCTTCTGCAAGAATATCTGTGGGAGCATTTTGTGTGAATGCTTCTAATCATTTCTTCAAATGACCTTGGGATATAAATACTACTTCCTCCTATACAGGGATGTAAAGACAGAGATCAGTTTCATTAATTGATTTCAAAAGGGACACATAGCATAGCCAGTTCTTATCTCTCTCCTTTTTTTTTTTTTTTTTTTTTTTTGAGACAAGGTCTTGGTTTGTAGAACAGGCTGACTTGAGGCTCACTCTGTAGCCAATCTGGCCTCAAATTCACAGCAATCCTACTGCCTCAGCCTTCCAGTGATGAGGATAGGTATGTGATCCTGCTATGCTATTTTGATTCCTAAATCATATTTCTAGAAATGATTAAGGGTACTAAAATATTGATAAAACATTTAATAAGTTTCTACTGTGTAGTCATTATGCTTAACCTCTCTAAATGCATAAGATAATTGAAACCTTATGATTACACTGTTTCTTAAAAGAAGAAATTGAGTCTGAGAGGGGTTGGATTAATTGTTGCTAGTCATGTTCTATGACCAGAGCTGAACCAGGTCTGGGTCACTCTGGAGTCGTTTCCAGGCCCTTTGCTAATATTCCTTAAGCTTTATGTGTTCTTGGACCTCTCTGAGCATCTAGTAAAAGTTATGAATCCTAGTCTCTTCAAAGCAAATATGTACACCAGGGTTTCTCCACAGTTGCACATTTGGATCAGATAATTCTTTGTAATGAGAGGTTGCCATATGTGTTGCAGGACATTTCATGTGCTTCCCACAGCACTTCAATGACTTCCAGGGCATCCTGTGACCTGCTGGCTCAGCTACTGCTGCTCAACTCTTGAGTACTTCCTCTCTTCTGATATGGTGGCATTACATGGTTCAGTACACTTCTGTTCATCTGTTTTTATAAAACTCCTCCATGTAAAACTGTAGTGATGCAAAGGAGAGACTAAGAAAGCCTAGGTAAAGAGTGGGGCTGTGCAGAATATTCTAGAAGCATGAAAGCTGGGTTTCCCAGGAAGAGTTGGCTATGGCCCAAGGCTAATCCACATAAGTCTAGGGTGTTGAGAGGATTAATCATGACCAGATGTTGGCTCCTGTCTCTGCATGTTTCTAGTAGGTCCCTTGGTAAGGCCTCCTGGGATATTATCAACACCCACAGCCCAAGCCCCATAGTAAGACTTTACAGTATACGTTCCCTGGAGCAGCGGATACTCTAGCCAAGGTGGCACTTGATTAGCAAGACACTGTTCCCAAATGAATCCTTTTAAAATATCTAAAACTACTCCATGACAATATCTACC